CTCACCTTTCCTGGCCCCATCCCCGCCTCTTCGACCTGTTTGTTTCTTCTCCACCTATCCTCTCCTCCATCCCTCTTCTATCCGCCTCCCACTCTCTCCCTATTTATTTCAAAACCCCCTTCCCCTCCCCCTTTTCTGATGAAGGGTCTAGGCCCGAAACGTCAGCTTCTCTGCTCCTATGATGCTGCTTGGCCTGCTGTGTTCATCCAGCCTTGCACCAGATTTATTTAGCAATTTGTTTAACATCTTATTTGCCCTCTCACCATCTCACGAGGCCACTGAATGAACAGTCAAGCTAGATATCATAGGCTATCGTCATGAAGATATATAAACACACTGCAGAAACAGATCAGTTAATAATTTTATTTTACTTGTTTTGTCATGATAGGAATGTCATGTTACTATTTTGCAGACTCTTGTCATGCAACTTAATACCATTGGGTCAACTGGCTCATTGTTCCTTGTCTATCAGGCTAAGCCTTATCAGATATCACCTATTCTAACTCCACATCTTTCACTAGCTAGAGCATCAAAAGAACCTTAATCACAGCCAGGACTGACCATGTTGATTAGGTTCAGGGTGCATTAAGTTTTCATTTATGGTGGACAACCAGCCATTTCTTGTACCACTCAGCTTCAAGCTTCTCCTACAGCACTGTGGGTCAGAAATCAAATATTCAAAGCTCTTTAGACTTCATTTATGCTAAGCAATCAGGGGTTGTACTAAATAGGCACTTAATTTCTCAATCCTTAACTAAGGAATGGAGCCATCTCCCATGTGTATGCTAATGATAATATTACCATTATCTTGCTCTATCCCCTTCACTGCATTAGCAGTGTCAGCATACTTGTTCAACATCCCAATGACAGGCACGTGTTTTTACATCATATTCTTTAAAAACAAAAAGGAAATTGAAGTTGAATAATTAATTCGTACCATTGCTTAGTAGCTGAGATTTTAGGAGTTTCTAAATTGTTGAGAAACCTACTGACCTGGTAACAGCACGTCTATGATTAGATGATAATTAGCCGAGAGCATCCAGCAAAAGAAAAAAAAGTAAATGGAAAGCTAGACAGATGGGCTGCTAAAGTTTTTTTTTTATTATTAGATGTTCGAGTAAGCCAACAATCCTCACTGATATAGAAAAATGAGGACTGGTATTTATTAAAAATATAGTTAGAAACTTAAAGCAGCCGTCATTTTAAAAAATTTAACATTTTGGAACGCCTGAAATTCCTAGCGTCTTCTTCAAAAGTTGAAATCAGATTAAGATGAAGGTTTGCTGGGCTCACTGGCATGTCGTTTCCTCGCCATTTCTTGAGGCAGTATACAGTTTATCTTGCCACTAGAAAAACAAAGAAAATTAGTGCACTATTTCTGTTATATGCACTTCAACATACTTTTTAAAAGATACATACAAGGATTGATCGAGGATTTAGTGATAGTAAGAACTACGGATGCCGTAAGTCAGAGTCGATACTGTGTGGAGCTGGAGGAACACAGCAGGTCAGGCAGCAGAGGAGCAGGAAAGTCGACATTTCGGGTCAAGACCCTTTATTAGGGCTGAGCAGGAGGAGGAACGGAGCTCAAATAAATGGGGGTGTGGCTGGGTGAAGGTAGGAGGGGTGGATGCAGGTGGGCAGCTGTGCAGATTAGTCAATGAGAAGGGTGCGGCAGATGGGTGAGAAGGAAGATGGACAGGTTGTGTCAGGTCAAGGAGGCAGGGATGAGAGAGGGGGCTGGACATGGGATGAGGCCAGGGGTGGGGAGATTTTAAAGCTAGTGAATTCTATGTTGATACCATTGCACTGTAAGGACCTGAGGTGGAATATAAGATGTTGTTCCTCCAATTTTCACGTGGCCTCATTGTGACATTGGAGGCGGCCTAGGGTGTGGAAAAGGGAGTTAAAATGGCTGGCAGAAAGTGGTGTTGATTGGAGCGTACACAGCGCAGAAGCTCTGCAAATCGGTCACCAAGTCTGTGCTTGGCCTCTCTGATGTCGAAGAGATCACACCAACGGATAAAGCAGACCAGGTTAGAAGACGTACCAGTGAATCCCTGTTGGATGGGGGAGGTGTAGGGCTTCCTGCAGTTGCAAGGAAAGGTGTGGGGGTGGTGGGGAGTGCAGAGCGGATGAGGGAGTTGCGGAGAGAGCAGTCCCTACAGAAAGCAGATAGGGGTGGTGGGGTCTGATTGCAGGTGGCTAAAGTAGCAGAGGATGAAGCATTGGATTCGGAGGCTGGTGGGGTGGTACGCGAGGACCAGGGGGACTCTATCCTTCTTATGGTTGAGGGGAAGGGGTTTGAGGATAGAAGTGCTGGAAATGCAGGAGATGCGGTTGAGGGCATTATGAATCATGGGAGTGGAGTTAGAGTCCTTGAAGGAGGAGGATACCTGGGATGTCCAGGAGCAGAAGCGGAGGAATTGGGAGTATGGGACCACATTTTTGCAAGAGGGTAGGTGAGAAGTGGTTTAATCGAGGTAGCTACTGGAGTCAGTGGGTTGGAAACAGATGTCGATGCTGAGTCAGTTGCCGGAGATGGAGACGGAGATGGAGGGGTCCAGGAAGGGGAGAGGGGTGTTGGAGATGGTCCGGGTGAATTTGAGGTCAGGTGAAAGGTATTGGTGAAGTTGATGAACTGTTAGAGCTCCTCATGGGAGCACGAGGCAGTACCAATGGTCAGTGAAGCGGAGGAAGAGGTGAGGAACAGTGCCAGTGTAACTGCAGAAGAGGGACTGTTCCACATATCCTACGAAGAGGCAGGCATAGCTCGGATCCATGCGGGTGCTCATACTACAAACCAAAGGGGTGGTTAATTAGGAGGAGTTAAAGGAAAAGTTGTTGAGGGTGAGGACAAATTCTGTCAAGTGCATGAGTGTAATAGTGGAGGGGGGGGTTGTTGGGCCCACAGAAGAAGAAGAAACAGAGGGTTTTAGGCCCTCCTCATTGGGGATATAGATGTAGAGGGACTGAATGTCCATAGTGAAGATGAGGTGTTGAGGGCCAGGGAACTGAAGATCTTGCAGAAGGTAGGGGGCATGGGTAGTGTCCCAAATGTAAGTGGGGAGTTCCTGGACCAAGAGGGATTAAAAAAAACAACAAAGAGTCTGGGTAGGCGAAGACAATAAGTCAATTTGGCCAGTCAGGTTTGTGGATTTTGGGTAGGAGATAGAAACGGGCAGTGCAGGGTTGGGGCATTATTAGGTTGAGGCTATGGACGGGAGGTCTCCAGAGGTGATGAGGTTGTTGATTGTCTGGGAGATGGTTTGGTGATCAGGAGCCGGGTCATAATCGAGGGGACAGTAGGAGGTGGTGTCAGAGAGTGGGCGGCTGGCCTCAGTGATGTCGATGTCAGTACGCCATGCTACCACCACAACCCCCCCTTATCAGCAGGCTTAATGGTGAGGTTGGGGTTGGAGTGGAGGGTGCGGAGGCTGTGCATTCCACTGGGGAGAAGTTGGAGAGAGTGAGGGGTGGAGAAATTAAGGCGATTGATGTCACGACGGCAATTGGAAATGAAGAGGTTGTGGGAGGGTCGGAAACCGGCGAGCAGTGTCAAGAGGCATGAGGTTTGTCAGAGGTGGGAGAAGGGGTCAGAGGGTGTGTTGGGCTTCCGTTTGAAGAGACAGACAGAGGTGGAGGAAAAAAAAGTTCAACATCGAGGCGTGTATGGAATTTGTTGATGCGTGGGCACAGGGAAATGAAGGTGAGTCCTCTGCAAAAGACTGACCATTTGTCTTCAGTAGGGTGGAGGTCTGGGGGAATGATGAGTACCTTGCAGGGCTTGGGGCAGGGGCTTAGGTGTTGGGCTGGAGACTATCTCTGGAGTGGAACGGTCACGTGAGCGGATGCAGAAGTAGCGATGTGGTCAGTGGCATCAGAGGATTTCAGTGTTTGTTACACAATGAGCTTAAACTTGATTAGTTGTAATGATCTTGCACTGATAGTTCTTGATTACACTGTACAGATATCTCACCTCTCAGAGGATTCAGACAGTGTTGTCATTACTGGATGGTTCTGAGTTCTTCCAAAGAAAAAACTGATCCACCACTGGCCCGCTGTAGACTTTGGTAATCCTGCAAATACAAAATTACCGACTAATTAAATGTGTTGTGTTCTTGATATAGATCGTAGACAAAGTGTCCATTGGTTCACATGTGGAATGAACTTCCTGATGAAGTGGTGGATGCGGGTACAATTACAATGTTTAAAAGAAGTTTCAATGGATATATGAATAGGAAAGGTTTGGAGTGATGTGGGCTAGGAGCAGGCAGGTGGGACTCGTTTATTTGGGGATTATGTTCGGTATGACTCTAACAAAACTTCCTCTGGTGTATAAAGAAAAGCAAGGTTTAAATGACAAAAGTGCACAATTCAATTAAACAACTGAACACGTTTCAAATTCAAGGTTTGCCTTGAGAGAAACAGTGTTAACATCTTGTGTTTCATGTGTATTTTCTAACTGTTCAGAATTTCAGGCTTTCTCTATGCCACAAGAGGTGAAAGAGTTAACGTTGATTCAGAAGATTCGTTGGATTCAAAACGTTTACTCAGTTTCTCTCTCTCTCTCACCACAGATGTTGCCAAACCTGAGTTTCTCCCGTGCTATTTTATTGTCTATTTGCTGATAAATTCCCATGCTTCTAAAACACTTAAATTCTAATTTTTATAGTTAAGGTTCTTGAAGATTTATAGCTCAGGCTGTGGACGAGCTTGTTGGCTTGCTCGCCGAGCTGGCTGGTTATTGTACAGACATTTCATCATCATGCTAGGTAACATCAGTGCGGCCTCTGATGAAGCGATGTTGTTCTACTTCGCTTGGTATTTACATGATTCGGGCTGTTAAGCTGGGCTGTGTCATTTCCAGTTCTGTTCATGGGTTTGTATATGGGGTCTAATTCCACATGTTTGTTGATTGCATTATGGGTCCAGGATGGTCATCCTGGCTCAAGCCAACCACAGACACGCACGGGAATTCCTAGAGACCTGGTTTTCAACCCGTAATGCAATCAACAAACATGTGGAATTAGACCCCTTATGCAAACCCATGCAGAACAGAACTGGAAACGACACAACCCAGCTTAACAGCCCAGATCACGTAAATACCAAGCGAAGTAGAACAACATCGCTTCATTGGAGGCCGCACTGATGTTACCTAGCATGGTGATGAAACGTCTGTCCGATAACCAGCCAGCTCGGCGAGCAAGCCAACAAACTCATCCAATTATTATAATGGCCAAAATATTTACTAGTCAAAAATAATAATTCAAAACATAACAAAGGTAGAGTGTATGATTAAAAGGGAATCCAAATTACATTGTAGTTCAATGATTACCTGATGCATGAAGTTAACTTCAATGAAGTCTGATTAATAGCACAAAAGATTAATTAATTGGTTAAAAGCAGTTTGGGAGATTGATAGCATAATTAAATACAACTGTTTGCAAATGATTTGAATTCTATATAAGCAAAGATTTGTTGCAAAAACCAGATGAGCTGCATATGTAATGAAAATTTTCTTACCTGGATGGTGTGGAATCACTTCTCCCATGTGCTCCGAGCTACCACAGGAACTATTGCTGGAAGCAGAACCAAGGCGCCCTGAAATTAGAAGTTTGGACTTCATCATACAATTACTACTTCTACAAATTGTGCATTCAGAACATGGAAAACTTGAAGCCCTTGCATTTACCAACATGTGCTAGTCCCCTTTCCCAAATGCTGATAGGCAGCATCAACCTACTCAAAACAAAACAGTTCTCACGAATGATACACTATGAATAATAATATGAAGAAAAAGAGAACAGAAAAGTATGGAAAAGAATGGATTACAATGCAAAAGCACAGGCCCTACAGGATTTCCACAGCCCCGGTCCTCTGGAAATTGAGGACCCTCAGATTTAAAGCAATGGTTTGGAAATACAGCTTTCAACCTTAACAGATGATGAAGTTAGTGTTTGTTTGTTAACAAAGAATTATGTAGCTTGCCAACTAGAATTAACAAATTAAAGTTATGTGCATGCAAAATTCATGATTTATAAAATTGTTAACCCATTTAGCATCCCAGTTTATTTGCACAGGAACTGGAAGTATTTCACTTAAAAAATACCATTATATCGTCGTCAAAAACATAACCACCAAATGAACAGTTTTCAAAAGCCTGAGCTGTCTACCTCTGCAAAACAAATAAACACTTTTCAAGAACCCATGCCCAAAAGGGATGATCAATTATTTAAAAAGTAATTGTAGAGTACAATAAGATAATGATAAATAAAAGGTTAATCAAAAAATACAGAAAACTTACTACATCATTGGCCCCAGAAAAACAATTAAAATTTACAACTGTCATGTCCATATACATGGTGAAGCAAAAAAAACTAATTATAAATTCAATCCTGCGGGATAACAACAGTAAAATCTCCTTTCATTGCTGTTTATAGATAGATACAGCACTTCAAAAAATACTAGTGTCAAATTTAGTAAGCGCACTGAAAAAGAAAACATCATTGCTGTGAATTTTACTGGAAGTTGTTATTCATCAGGTTTGCAGCTGTTTCTGTTGGAAAAATGCCCATAAATAGCTGATCGGTTGATGTACTGTCTGTAACTCAACAGATCCCCCTACTGCAAACACCTCAAAAGGATTGTTGTTCATAGAATTACTTACTCCTGTAATAGTCATGCGTAGCTGTAAGGGAGCCAGTTGACGGAATGGATGCCATTGCAATCTTTCAGACTAGTATCTGGTGGTTACCCTTGAAGTAGCAAAAGGAAATTAAAAACTATATTTAGATTGGCAGATTTGCAAAACAAAATAACTGGTAGTTCAACAAGATCGTCAAAATTACAGTGCAATTCTAGTATAGAGAAATGCCTGGCCTTATTGATCACATACCAGTAAATATGATGGGTCACCCTTATTAAGTAAAGCTTTTCACATCAAAAAGTAATAAGATTTTATTCTAAAATTTGACTAACAAAGCCAGGCACAAGGTTCAAGTCCTTATGTAAACAGATAAAAAGTTCGAGAATAGCTTTGAGAATATGTAGCATACAAAGACATAGTTTGGGAGAGTTTTACCGATTGTAGATTAGGTTTGGATTTCATTCCAGTTCAATCAAAACTAGACACAGGGTTTAGTCATGCTTAGACTACTTCCACCCCTCTCCCAGCTATATCAGCACTGTTGCCCTAAAATAGCAGACTTGCTCAAAAACTAAATAAATGCTGCAGATTTGAAATTATTCTCAATTTGTAGGACAGGAATTAAAAACCAAAACGATTGAATTGCCTAAGAATTCAGGATTAGTTGCTGCTGTTTTATCATTTCTTTAGCACATCTTATGGAATAAAGTTGTAGTATACACTGATGGAGGAGGAAAAAAATAATTTCTTGGTCTTGTACCATTAAAAGTTATCTACGGCTTAGCTACCAATTTGAAGAAGCTTTACACAGCCCAGTAACACCCTGCAAATTATAAACAGATTCTTGGCCCAAATAGCATCCCATGAACCGGAGAGTCTGCCGAGGATCATTCAGAGGATTAAATTACTGAAGTGTCACCTATTTTAGGTGAGTCACTGTCAAATTAACAGTACCCATATGTTCAAGAGTGAATGCTAAACTATCACAACTGAATTTTTCTAAACATTAAAAAAAAGTGGAATCTAACAACTGTAGCTTTTTAAAATTGAAACATAAACAGAAATTCTGAAGGAGGGTCACTGGGCCCAGAACGTTAACTCTGATTTCTCTCCACAGATGCTGCCAGACGATTTTCCAGCAACTTCTGTTTTGTTTCAAGATTTCCAGCATCCGCGGTTCATTCGGGGTTTTTTTTTGTTGTAAAATGTAAAGTTGCTCGGTTGCAAACAACACTGTTCATGGAGGCAACATCCGAATTAACAAGACAACAAATCAACACCCCGAACCCCCACCGCCTCCCCAAACCAAGGCTGAGTCGGTGGGGAAGGAGAGAAACGAGTAACTAACTCAGCGAAAACAGTGCAATGGGAACCGCACACTGTGGACACTCTGGTGGCAAAAGGCCTCACAGGGAGGACACACCGCGGCCGCCAGCAGCTCAGGCTCCGGCTCGATGGACAGCGGCGGCGGGATTGAAGTCTCCAGCCCCAGGCTCTCCTCTCCCTCCACAACACAACACAAACCACCCTTCTCCGCCCCATAACGGGGCCACATACCTTCGACACCAAACAGGACTCCAAGTGTAATGACTGAAGAAAGTAAACGCTAGGCAATAGGGCCCATTTGAGAAAGTAACCCGGCACAAAGCACTACCACAACACGGAGTCGAGAGATAATATTAGAGTGTGAGGGGGCGCCACGCGGGTTATATATAGCGTCGTCCTGTGTCACACCGCCCAAAAAAAAGTCGGTAAACGTCAATCATCGGAGCCGTCCAATAGACATGCGCTGCCTGTGGCTGAGGCCCGCCCTTCATCCAATCAACGTCAACAGAATCCCCCTAGCGAGGAGAAATGACAACATCGGCATAGACAGCCTCCAGTAAAGTCACAGACGATGAAACGTTATCTTCCCTGGTGGTCTAGTGGTTAGGATTCGGCGCTCTCACCGCCGCGGCCCGGGTTCGATTCCCGGTCAGGGAATTTGCTCTTTTATTAAAATTTGCGATCGTTCCCTCTAACGGAGTATATTAGAAGTATCGGAATTCGTTTAAATTTGCGATCACTATTTTAAAGGGAGTATAATGAAAATATTTAACTGCTTTAATAAAAACTGCGATGACTACAGATTCTAGCAGATTGAAACCATTAAGATCATGCCGGAAGCGTAGGTGCTGATCGGAATCTGTGAAGGAAAGACAATGGTTTACTTGCACAATCAGTTATACAGCGTGGATCAATATTTTTTAAATAATTTTAAAACATAAAGCTCAGTAGGAGAAGAAAAGCTTATGTTCCCTGACCGGGAATCGAACCCGGGCCGCGGCGGTGAGAGCGCCGAATCCTAACCACTAGACCACCAGGGAGCTCTGAAGAGTACTTCGAGAATATCATCTTTGACTACCTCACAAGTTATGTAATGCCCAAACGTGCAATATTTTTAATTATGACAGTGCAGTGTGGAGCTGGAGGAACACAACAGGTCACGCAGCATCAGAGGAGCAGGAAAGTTCACGTTTCAGGTCGGGACCCTTCATCAGAAACGGGGAGGGGGAAGGGAGCTCTGAAATAAATAGAGGAGGGGTGGGACTGGAGAAGGTAGGTGGGATAGTGATAGGTGAGTGTAGGTAGGGAGTGGTGGGAGAGAATCTGAGATAACAAGGTGTAGAGCTGGATGAACACAGGAGGCCAAACAACATCAGTAGGAGCAGGAAAGCTGACGTTTCAGGCCTAGACCCTTCTTCAGAAATGGGCCATTTCTGAAGAAGGGTCTAGGCCCGAAACGTCAGTCTTCCTGCTCCTCTGATGCTGCTTGGCCTGCTGAGTTCATCCAGCTCTACACCTTGTTATCTCAGATTCTCCAGCATCTGCAGTTCCTATTATCTCTGGGAGAGAAGATGGACAGGTTGTTTCAAGTCAAGGAGGCGGGAATGAGACCTCCCAGTTGCCAACCATTTTAACTCCCCCTCCAACTTCCTGGTGACATGTCCATCCTGGGCCTCCTCCAGGGCCACAATGACACCACCTAGAAACTGGAGAAGCGACACCCCATATTCTGCCTCAGGAGCCTACAGCCCAATGGCCTAAACACAGAATTCACCAGTTTTAAAATCTCCCCACTCCCTGCCTCATCCCATGTCAAACTCTCCCTCTCGTCCCCGCCTCCTTGACCTGACACAACCTGTCCATCTTCTCTCCCTTTCCATCCCAACCCATCCCACTGATCAACCCCCACCACTGCCTACCTATTACCATCCCCCCCCCCTTCCCCAGCCCCACCCCTCCTCTCTCTCTTTATTTCCCAGCTCCCTTCCCCCTACCCCATTTCTGAAGAAGGGTCCCGACCTGAAATGTCAACTTTCCTGCTCCTCTGATGCTGCATGGCCTGCTGTGTTCCTCCAGCTCCACACTATTGACTCTGACTCCAGCATCTGCACTTCTTGCTATCTCTGATATTTTTAACTACGATCTGATTTTAATTAGAAAAATATGTTATCTAATGTCCAACATTGAATGCCTGTCTACTACCACGATCAGCAGCTTGGTAATATAGAAGGCAAATACTGCTGAGGAGAGAGACAATATTACCTTTTTTGCACTCATCAGAACAATTACTAAAGTACCAATTTTTAAACTACCACAACAATTCATTTTCAGAAGGAAGCGTGCTGATTGGTTGGCAAATTGATTGTGTCAGAGATGGAGACCATCCCCCAAAACAAGACTTTTACAATGGGAGTCTCTTTTCAGCAGTATTATGATCACCGTCCTTCACCAGTTTTAAGCTTGAGAAATCAAAGTAACCATTGAAGATACTAACATTATCATCAATATTTTCAAATAAAACAGTAAATACTCAGTAGGTCTGGTTGCATCTACAGAGAAAAATGGAGGCACAATTCAGATTTGAGATCTTTTGTCATTGACATCCTGTTGTACCGCATTTATTAGCTTGCACGATAAAACAAAACTCAATCACTTCACCAATACAAAAAAAGACAATATAAATAAGAAGGACCAGAGAAGGTGAAACTTGCATTTGGCAAATATATGTGAGGAAATTAGTTACAGTGGAAAAGGGAGGAAAAAAGAAAGAAATACTTATTGGGCGTTCTGAAATTAACAGAATCACGGAATTGTTACACCATAGAAAGTCTATTTAGCCTGTTGTGTCAATGCTGGTGCTCTTCTAGGCAACTCCATTCATCTCACCCAAACCCCTGCCTTTTTCCTGTAGCCTATAACATTTTTCTACTTAGGTTGATAACTATTTCCTCTGAATCTGCTTTCACCACACTCAAATGCATGCATTTCAGATGCTAAGTATATGGAAAAGCTTTTTCTCATGCTGCCTTTAGATCTTTTGCCAAAATCTGTATCCTCTGATTCTCAACCTTTCTGCTGATGGGAACAGTTTTTCTTTGTCTATCCTGTCTGGACATCTCATGATTTTGAACAACTCTATCACACCTCTTTTCACCATTTTCTAGGGAGAAGATTCATAGTTTCTCCGTTCTCTCCAAGCAACTAAAATAGGTCATGATTGAAACATATCTTGTGCGTCTTCATTGCACCTTCTTGAATGCTTAAATATCCTTCCTAAACCCTGTGGGATGAGTTTTGTGTGCTTCCATAGTGGCAATTCTAGACCTAAAGAGCACAACCTTACATTACAGCTGCATCAAAGTTATTGTCTGAAAGGGCATCATCACCATAAGAATGTCTCGATTCCTTATGAATTTGAATACCTCCATCTACACACAATGCAGGGAATCCCCAATTAAAATTGCCCTGTTTAACACTGCTTTGCTTTAACTTCAAGGTATTGGGGAAAAAACCTTGTTGAGTGGGCATTGAAATTCATTTTAATATTTACTATTGTACCTGACCTGATTGGCACCATTTTGGCAGGACCCCTACTTCTCTCACATTTGAGGCTGATCCTCAAGTTGTCTGACTTGCAGCCTCTCCATTTGCCACATTGCTGCCCAAGGTCTGCACAGGGAATTTACATCTACCAGATCCTGCTGGAGCTGCACCTCCACCCATGCTGCAGCTACAGCCAGTAAAATTCTACACAAAAGAATGCCACATGCCTGGACAGAACAAAGTCACCCCTCCCAGCCAAGTATGTGACCCTGGCCTGACCTCCACCACCCTACCAGTGGGTGCTGTATATGACTGTCATTGACCCCCACCCCCAACACCCCATCCCACACCACATCCTATCTTCCCCCGCTCCCGTCTAGAGGCAGTAACTGAAGTAGAGGGATCCCAAACAGACCATAGACCACAGCCACATAACAACACAGGTGAGCTGATGAAAAAAGCAGAACGGTCATTACCCTCCACCCTCTACCATCCTCACCCCAGACTAAACCCTGATTGCTAGCATCTGCACTACTTTGGTTCTGTATAGAAATACAAGTTGTTCTTTTTTGAATTATTATTGGTTAACTGTAAAGGATACCTTGTCTTGCTGATGATTATATGTCTTGAGGTGAAGGCTTAGACCTTGCGCAGTCTTTCTGAAAATTGATACTTGTATCAGAATTGAGTTAGTCGAAGTTGATAGACCTCGTTTAAAAAGACGTGATGTCATAAAGTGATGTTGTTGCAGCATCTAAGTGGTAGATTGACAGCAAACAGCTGTCGAGTTATTTCATGAAGATAGCCTAAAATTATTCCTTGTGTCTGGAACTGAAGTTCACAATATTGCATACCAAGAACAAGTTTGCACTTCTAAAACTATTTTCCTTTTATGATAATTTTATCTTACATTTCTGAAAAGTATAGGCCAAATGCAATGATATTGTCACTACACTCAGTCTATTTGAAAACCTAATCAGTCATGTCCATTTAAGTTGCATTTATTTAGCCAAAATATGCTTATATCACAATATAAGCAATAAAGCTATTGAGATTTGTCAGTGTTATATGCTGATGTTAATTCAGCTCTTCCAAACCACCTATCCCAATGATGGATCATTCTTTTGTTTAAGCATTCTTACTGATTTACAGAAACAAGAGGAAAATAACATTCAAATTAATCAGCTAGTTTCATTTCATCGATTCATAAAAGGAGCACTGATAGTAATGCTCTATTAATTTGCAATGCATTTCCAAAGATATTGAGCAATGATTAGTAGTATTGCCAGATTTCTGTGAAGCATAAACAAAAAGTCAATAATTTTTTCAACCACGTTTGGTTATTCAGTTAGTTCCTTTAGAGTTGTTCATTGCCGGATCCAATGTCATATTTAGTTACAGGGAATCAGAGGTATCCCACGGTGCACACTAGATCTGACAGCATTTGTCAGAGATAAAATAGCAATATTGTCCTAATTCTCTGACTCATATTCCATAGACTGGATGACAGAAAAAAATCTACGATGCTCTCACTATTATAAGAAAATAGCAAATAAATGATAATTTTGCAAGACTCCATTGACAGTTTAAAACCTTGTACAAATGACTGCAGGTCTACGAGGGATATGACTAAGGCCCCATCATGTTAACTACCAGTTAAGCCTTACAAGATTAACCTCCTACTCAAACTTGGGAGCATTTTCAGAACAGAACTGGATTTAGATTGCTCAGGGCCTGAGTTTAAAACATCAAGAATGTTTCAATTGCAGAATTATTTCCACACTAAAAGTGATTCAAGTTATGGCTGCTATATCCACGGTCTCTTCAAAATAATTTAATCTGCCCGTCAGACATGCATTTGCAATCTAATTTCCGATATGCTATTAGGATGACATGAAGACGGTTGCAATAACATTGGTATGGAACATTAACATTGCCATAGACTAGTTAGGCCAAATGGCTGGTTTCAGTGTGATAGCTGCTAACTAATGTTATGTCCTTCAACTAGTTAATTTAACAGGCAAACATTTACAACATGAGGTGCAGGTACTGGGGTGGACAAAGTCAGAAGTCACACGACATTAGGTTATAGTCCAATAGATTTA